TTTGGCACCATTATTCACATTCTTGTTGAAACCAGCAATCCAAGGTACATGTAAGACTTCTCCATCACTGTGTGAATCTCAGGGGACTAACCGTAGCAATCCTCTCTCCAAATATCCCTGGTATACGGTCTCCTCTACGTTTTCACAGACATAAGCTTAGTTCTGGCCTTCGTCATTTATCATGTCAACAATCACCGCCCCTTTCTAACAGATCTAGCCACCTTCAGGACTATTTCTGTTTATTCATTCAAGAGACCCTCGACAATCCTCACCTAGGTGCCCGGCACAACAAGGTGCTAGGGACACATCAGTGAGCAAACTCCATCTTGGAGCTTATATTCCGGTGGTGGATGTAAGTGAGAAGTAGGGGAACAAATAAAACATTAGCTGCTGTGCAGAATATAAGAGAATTAACTTAGGGTGACTTAACTTAGGGAAGAGGATCTGGGAGGGCCTCTTTGAGGTGCGTGGCTGAACCCCAGCAAAGAAAAGAAGCTATAAAGAGCGGGGTGGAAAAGCATGCTGTACCTTCAAAGACACAGAGGAAGGAAAGCACTTGGCCTGTTTAAGGAACCAGAGGACCACTGTGGCTAGAGTGCAGGGAGAGAGGAAGGGAACACAGCCAAGTGAAGGAGGAGGTATGGCTGTGGCCAGAGCATGAAAGGGCTTGGGGGCCAGTCTCCAATGGCCTCAGAGATATCTCTGCACTCAAAATCAGATCACAGCACTGCCCCTTTTAAATGTGAGATTCTGTCTCCCTGTTACTGATGGGATAATGTTCAAGTTTCGTCTGATGATACTCAGGGTCCTTCCTGGTCTGGATGTTACTTGCCTTTCCAGCACTTTGCCCTGAAACGAGCCACATTCACATGTAACGTATACGCTCTAGCTGTGCCTCTTTCCACATGGCTTCTTTCCTCAGCTGGAAAAGCTCCTTCTCTATGTGACGACCGCCATTTCATCCTCTAAGACTCATCTTAAGTTTGACAGGAGGAGCCAATATGTTGCTCTCTGTTATTTCACAGGAAACTCTATACTGTGATCTCGTGATCCTTTGTACATCTCTCCCACCATCCTGTGAACTCTTGAGAATGTGAGAGTCTGGATCTTACGTGTTGTGGCAGTCATAGTGTCTGAAACAGAACTGGCATTCAGTACATGTTTACTGAGGGAGGGTGGGAAGGAAGGAATAGGGAGGGAGGGAGGGAAAGAAGGATGAAGAAGTTTTGGCCAAGTGCACTGGAATGGAATTCATGACATTCTGATTTCATCTAGTCTAAGGTTTAGTCTATTCTTTAAAATCAAATTAAAATCAAAAATCACTTACTGAATGACATTTACACATGATACATTAGCCCAGTTATTGGTAAATGATGCTTAATTATCAGAGAAATTCTGAGCAAAGAAATGCTACATGTCATAAAGGAACAAGCACTGGCTCTACTATTTGCTATCAGTTAAGACCTTGAGGTACTGAGCCCCCAAATTCCACTTTGAATATACATTATATGCAGTGTCTAATGGACAACAGAGGAGTGCCCACCTTACAAATGAAGAAAATAAGGTTGCTTTTTAAGAGCTGAACAAGTAAAAACTGGATTATCCATCTGTGGGAGGTAACTGTGGGCTGAAACACCCAAAACTATTTTCAAGGCGACCAGCAAAAGGGAAAAGGGCATAAACAAACATCTAATGCCAAGTAGAGACAAGTGACATGGACATAACAATGAACAGATATGATAAACATTTTTGTCATGACAATGGAAAATTCTCCGATCTTCTCTGAGTGAATATACTAGCTTTCCGGTTTATACATCAGCTCCGTGTAAGTTTGCACTAAAGTGCAAGTTACCTCTGCACACTGACAAAGATGAATGTGTGACCAGAAGGCTGAAGAACAGTCTCCCGACCGTGGTCACCTCACCATGGGTGACATGCTGTATGACCTTAACTGGCCGCCAGCTGGCCTGCCCCAGTCAGATCTCACGACAGCTACCCCTCTTACGACAGCTACCCCTCTTACGTTAAAACAAACGTTTAGGTCAAGGTCAGCACAGGGAGTCCTTTCATCAGGATGACAACACAAGGCCAAGTGCATTCCATTCACGACCAGACATGGATTCAGAATGAAATGTACCTGACACAGCCCGGGCTCCTAAGTGACCTTCAGATGCCAGTGTCAGTCAAATGATTCTGAAGAGAAATTAAGCTCGAGTTATACTGCTATATTCATCTGGAATGCATTACTAAATGAAGACATGAAATGGAGATAATTTTTTTTAACTTAGGAGCCAACTCTGTGGTGGATAACAGAGACGCCCTGAAGCAAGAGAAAGAATTAAAATGGTGTCCGTGAGTCCTAGAAGTCTGTGATGCTACAGTCAACGTTTCCAGTGCTAAAAACGTAAGGTCACGGCTACTTCATATAAACATGTTCTTGTCCAGAGGAGAATATCGGAAAAGGTCTCGGTGAACCAACCTCTTATTCAAGTCACCATGAACATTCAACCCAACAAGGTTGGAGTGCCGTGGGAAGAAGGTTTACAGTCCTGAGGTGGTGACTGGAAGAGCACATGGCCGGAATGAGTCTGATCCGTATGGCAATCTGATGTGTACTACAACAGGACGTGACTAGAAAGAAATGAATAAAGTCCAAGGTGCTGTTGACATCGTAAAAGCTCATATCCACAGTGCCACCTGTCATGGGGACGAAACCAAGCATAGTTGATTTTTACCAGGCTTATAAACAGTACCGTGGTTTAGGACAAGACTCTGCCACTCTACCTGAAAAATTCCTTTCTATTTCAATGATTGCATCAAAAAAGTGACTCTCCTTGACAAAAGATTATAAACTTCCCTGCCGCTATTTTTTTGGTTTTATATTTTCATTTTTCGTTTGCGTCAGCATCACAGTTTTCTATGTGAATTTCAGAAATTCCATTCTAGAAGATCTAATACCTAAAGCCACTGAAGAATCCTTTTCTAATTTGGATGGTAGACCTTGCCAGCCACCCTCTGCCCCAAAGTCAAATCAACTAGTGCAACACTGTCTGAGGTTTAATATTCACACTCAGGTATTCAGTTCTACTATCAAGCTTAAATATTAAAAACAGACAAGCTTCTTTGAATACTCTGTGACTGTCATCTGACTCAGGATATGTTTAGTTTTATGTGGAATTTTAAATGTTTGTAATAAAGCAAAAATTTTAAGCCCTTAACAAAGCTTTTTTCAGAGGAAAAATAATGTATGAAAGTTTCTTAAGTGCCTTTCAGTTCGGGACCTACGGGTCTTCTGCTGTGTCTCAGAATAAAATAACTTTGAGGCAACACCAACTAAGACCTGAAAGGAAGTGTGGTTTCAGAGTGTCTCCTGTTATACCCAAGCTAAATTCTACTGAAACCATCTACGAGAGATTGTATTACCACTCAGAAAAGATTATCAGTGACATGTCAAAATGAAGATTTACATTTAACTGATGACCAAGAAAGGGGGAGCGTCGTCTTCATGCAAGACGCGGATTGCAAAAACATCAGATTTTTGAGTTTACTTTTCTAGGGCCTAAGAAAAATATATACAAGTAAAATTCCCTCTCTAAATGTCTTATTTCAAACTGAGCCAAAGGAAACCAAGTTGAAATCGCGTCATTTGAAAAAGAATAGAGGATTAAGGAACAGTGACATTACTGAGTTAAGAAGGAGAGTGTTTCTCCATAGAAGCATTCCTGCTAATGAAGAAGAAATGAGGGAATTAGGAGATCATTATTCGGCAAACTTCTAATGAAATAATGAATCTAGGCAAAGATCATTAGTGCCCACCAACATCACAGAGACACACCAGATATTATGTACCTCTTGATAGAGTACACAATAGCATCTGTGAAGTACTCTTCCCTCACTCAGATTAACTCTCTAGATCAAACTAACAGTTTGCAGGAACCACAGGGGACAGAAGAACGTAATAAAAACCCAGGCAACGCAAACAGCAAAATCTAAAATGTGGGAAATTCCACAGGATATTCTTCTTTTTTGAAGAAACTGGCTTCTTCAAAAAAAAATAATTATGAAAAAAAACAAAAATAGAGGATAGAAACCTCTAGGTCAAAAGAAACCCCTGAGAGGGGACTTCCCTGGTGGCGCAGTGGTTAAGAATCTGCCTGCCAATGCAGGGGACACGGGTTCGATCACTGGTCTGGGAAAATCCCACATGCTGCAGAGCAACTAAGCCCGTGTGCCACAACTACTGAGCCTGCGCTCTAGAGCCTGTGCGCTGCAACTACTGAGCCCAAGCACCACAACTACTGAAGCCCGTGAGCTCTAGGACCTGTGTGCTGCAACTACTGAGCCCATGTGCTGCAACTACTGAAGCCCGTGTGCTGCAACTACTGAAGCCCGTGTGCTGCAACTACTGAACCCCGCGTGCCTGGAGCCCATGCTCTGAAACAAGAGAAGCCACCACAATGAGAAGCTCACGCACCTCAACGAAGAGGAGCCCCCACTCACCGCAACTAGAGAAAAGTTGGTGCGCAGCAACAAAGACCCAACGCAGCCAAAAAAAAAAAAAAAAGAAAAAGAAACCCCTGAGAGATGGACACATCTAAGGCAATGCGTGAAATCTGTTTGGGTCCTCATTCAAACTAACTGTAAATGAATGGACGAATTTACAGACAATCAGTGATATTAGAACTACATACTTGATGACATTGAGAAATTATTGCAAATGTTTTTAAATGCATGATGATGGCACTGGAGTTACGCTTAAAGTATCCATATCTTTTCATGGTGTGTTACCATTTTAAAGGATGAATTATAAAATGTCTGAGAGTTGCTTCATAGTAATCTAATGGAAGGAGGGTGCTTTAGATAAAACAAGAGTGGATTAATGGTTTTGTAGCTCGGTACAGGGATTCACCGCGGCATTCTAATTTTGTATATGTTTGACATTTTTCACAATAAAAGCTGGAAAATTTTAAAGTTGGAAAAAAACGATGAATAAGACTTACCCTGCTGGATATCCTTCATTTCTAAATGCAAACTAGATATCAAGATTCCCACAGTCTGAGATCGTTTTCCATCCAATAACTTGATGATCTGGAATTTTAAAAAATTAACACAAGCTCAAACAACCAATCTTTCAGAAGCATACCAAAAACCTTCATGGTTTTAGACAGTCTGATAAACTAAACTGATGCTACAGTCACTCTATTTTAATACTTTAATTTGAATATAACTTATCCATAAGTATAGATATTTTAGAAAATAAAGGAAAAACACCACCCCGAATTCCACCAATCTAATACGAGCACTCAAATCTGTTTTATTCAAACACATCTTAACTAAGTTGTAATTGCAACACATGTACAAGTTTTTATCCAACTTTTCCACTTATCCTTGGCCTGTTTCCACGTTGGACTTCGTAAGACACTTCACAGCCTCCAGCCTCCCTGGCTACAGTGCAGGATCATCTGCTGAGTGGTTTAGGGGAAATATCATTGAGATCTCGACTCCGCTGTTTACCAGTGATATGGCCTCGGAAAAGCGACTTAACCTCTAGGAATTCAACTTTTTCGTGAAGTAGGGCTGACTGTACTTAGTTTGTACATTTATTCTAGAAATTAAATGGCGTAATATAGGTAAAGCACCTAAAACAGTTCCTGACACAGACTTATTATTTAAATAAAATTGCTCTAGTCAGGAGGGTTAGGTTGCTTTGTATTTGTGCTAGGATTAATATAAATAATACTTTGTACATACAGATTTAATTTGAAATTATTTAGAAGTGGTCTTTTATAATAATGTATGTATACAGGAACTTTTATAATCCTTTTAGAAACTCCAAATACCTCATTGCCAATAATTTCAACCCCTATGAATATTCCATGGAGAGCTCATCACAGTTTTGTCTCTCTCTAAACCAAATCAGCCCCAAAGAATGTATTGCACAGTGGCCACTAGGGGGAAAAAAATTACTTTTTTTTTCTCTCTTGTGGCAGGGCTACAAAAATCAATAGGAAATATGCACAAAACATCACCAAACCTTATGTTTTTAATGCACTTTTCTGGGTAAAATACAAACTAAAGAGCTATGCTTCCTCTCCCACCTATGTATACACAAACTTACGGAAAATGTAGTGAAGATTAAACAGTAACACCTACATTTATATTGATACTAACTAGCTGAGTTGCTTGCTGGTTGAACAATAAGGGATAACGGGAGCTTGCTCCAACCAAGACTGTCTATTTGTCCAACTGTCTAATTACCTATTGATTGATGCTGAATCAATGATCGCCAGCCCTTTATCTTTCTCTGCTCAGCATGGCTACTCTTATCTTACTGTTAGGCCGAAAGTACAGTAAACACTAAGCTTTCATCAAGATAAAAGGAAAATCTGATTTTCAGCCTAATGTGTTTAATCATTTCAACATTAGCCTTAAGGATAGATTCTTGGAGGATACAGAACTGCAGTTTTTAAAAGAAATAAAGAAGGTACTTGGTATTTTTATTTATTTTTTACACGAACGCAAAGGAACAAGATATTATGTATATCAAATATCTTCTTAAAAGATGCAATTTCTAGCTTTTTCTTAGAGAACACAAATGTAAAGTGAAATAATTTTTAAAGTCCAATACAAAATTAAGAAAAACCTACCGAAGCTTCGTGTAAATATTCAGACATGCATTCATTCATTAACAAATATCTGCTGTGCATCTGTTACATGCCTGGCACTGCTCTGGACTCATGCCCTTGACGTCATAAATTTTGTAGAATTTAATGATTTAAAATTGCTGAGAAGAACTAAAAAGGCGAATAAAACCATGACTTGAACTAACTGCAAAGCAAATTCAAAATAAGAAAAGCTTTGGGAATTGACTAGATTTATCCTTAAAAGACCAAGCTAGTGACTGAGATACAAGCTTGGTCGTGGCATACACATCAATGTCAAGGAGACAGGCACAGGAATCAAATTTATGACAAGAGGACAACTGGGTTGCAAAAATGTCTTCAAACCAATATTCACCATGCTATCCAGTTAGGGTTCTGAAAACCCTGGGTAACACATTCTACCTACGGGAAAAACAAGGTTCAAATTCAAGGTTTTCTAAGAGCTAATTAAAAGAAAGCAAGAGAGTAACCACAAGAGAACAGAGAGAGAGGGAGGGACTGAAATTGAGATTGAGGTTCTGTCTGTCATTGGATAAAAGCAAGTAGCCACCACCAAAAAGTGTACAAACAATAAATGCTGGACAAGGTGTGGAGAAAAGGGAACCCTCTTACACTGCTGGTAGGAATGTAAATTGGTACAGCCACTCTAGAGAACAGTATGGAGGTTCCTTAAAAAAACCCCTAAAAATAGAACTACCATATGGCCCAGCAACCCCACTCCTGGGCATATATCTGGAGAAAACCATACCTCGAAGAGATACATACACCCCAATGTTCATCGCAGCACTATTCACAGTAGCCAAGACACAGAAGCAACCTAAGTGTCCACTGACAGAGGAATGCATGAAGAAGATGTGGTACATATACACAATGGAATACTACTCAGCCATAAAAAAGAATGAAACTCTACCATTTGCAGCAACATGGATGGACCTAGAGATTACCATACTAAGTGAAGTAAGTCAGACAGAGAAAGACGACATATATCGCTTACATGTAGAATCTAAAATGATACAAATGAACTTATTTACAAAACAGACATGGACTCACAGACTTCGGAAACAAACTTACGGTCACCAAAGGGGAAAGGTTGGGGGGAGGGATAAATTAGGAGCTTGGGATTAACATATACACACTACTATATATAAAATAGATAACCAACAGGGACCTACTGTATAGAACAGGGACCTCTACTCACTATTCCGTAATAACCTATATGGGAAAAGAATCTGAAAAAGAATGGATATATGTGTATGTATAACTGAATCACTTTGCTGTACACCTGATACTAACACAATACTGTAAATCAACTCTACTCCAATTTAAAATAAAAATTAAAAAAATAAAAACAAGCAAATCCATCCCCACTTCATTGTTCAACCAGGCTGCCCTGTGGAAAGGATGTTACCATCCTTGCAATTCTGTTTAATAACCTGGCACGGCAAGCGTTTGGAAAGAAAGTGTCTGTTACCTTCGGCTGGACTGAAACCTTAAGAGTTTCCTGAAATGCGGTGCTACTTCCTAAAAAGGGGGTAGGCAGTGCTCAAGTCAGAGCATTTGTATTCTCTTCCCTATTTGTGTCAAATTCTCTGTCTACCTCTAACTAGACCTTTAAAAAGAGTCTCTCTTCAATTGTGGAATAACACCAGGTTTCTCAAAACCAGCTAAAATGGTAGGAACACAATGGACACGGAATGGATATATGCCCTAAGCCCTCGTCGTTTCTTTTGTTTTCATGACTGAAAGGTTTAGTTTTTTTATTTTACTACAGTAAAAAAAAAGAGAGAGAGAGAGAGAGAGAAAGGAAAACATGAAATCTACCATATTAACAACGTTTTAAATGTACAGTACATCACTGTCAGCTATATGCGCACTGTTGTACAGCAGACGTCTAGAAGTTTTTCATCCTACATGATGGAAACTCTAGACCCCTTGAACAGCTGTACTCCATTTCCTTCTCCCCCTAGCCCCTGGACAGCTTTCTGCTTCTACAAGTTTGACTGCTTCAGATACCTCAAGTAAACAGAATCATGAAGTATTTGTCCTTTTGTGACTGGCCGATTTCACTCCGAATAACATCTTCGAGGTTCATACATGTTGTAGCATGTGATAGAATCTCCTTCCTAAGGCTGAATAATACTCCATTGTGTTTGTGTGTGTGTGTATATATATATATATGTGCGCACATACATATGCGTATATATGTATTCCATTGTGTGTGTATATATGTGTGTGTATTGTATGTGTGTGTGCATATATGTAAATATGTCCATCAATGAACGTTTAGCTTATTTCTACTTCTTAGCTACTGTGAATAATGCTGCAGTGAACAGGGGAGTGCAAATATCTCTTTGAGATCTTGTTTTCAATTCTTTTGGATAAATACCTAGAAGTGGGTTGCTGGATAATGTGGTAGTTCTATTTTTCTAATTTCTCAGCATCTTTACCGACACTTATTACATTTTTGTTTTTGATAACAGCCATCCTGCTAGGTGTGGTTTTGATTTGCATTTCCCTGATGTTAGTGATGTTGAACATCCTTTCATATACCTGTTGGCCATGTGTAGGTCTTCTCTGGAGAAATGTCTATACATGTCCTTGCCCATTTTTAAATCAGGTTTATAAAAACTGAGTTGTAGGAGTTTCTTACATATTTTGAGATATTAACCCTTTATCAGACATACGGTTTGCAAATATTTTCTCCCATTCCATATATATCCTTTTCATTCTGTTGACTGTTTCTTTTGCTGTGGAGATGCTTCTTAATTTGATATAGTTCCACGTGTCTATTTTTGCCTTTGTTGCCTGTGGTTTGGTGTCATTTCCAGGAAATAACTAGTAAGACCAATGTTATGAAGCTTTTCTCGTGTTTTCTCACAGGAATTTTACACATTCAGATCTTACATTTAAGTCTTGAATCTATTTTGAATTGATTTTTGTTTATGCCGAAAGGTAACGGTCCAATTTCATTCTTTTGCATTTGGACATCCAGTTTTCCCTGCACCATTTGTTGAAGAGACTATCCTCTCCCCATTTTGTAGTCTTGGCACTCTTGTTGATGATCATTTGACCACATTCATGTGGGTTTATTTCTGAGCTCTCTCCTCTGTTCTGTTGGTCTATGTCTGTCTTTATACCAGTACCATCCTGTTTTGCACACTGTACAACAGGCATACCTCGGAGATACTGCAGGTTTCGTTTCAGATCACTGCAGTAAAGTGAATATCGCAATAAAGTGAGTCACACAGATTTTTTGCTTCCCAGTGCATATAAAAATTATGTTTACACTATGCTGTAGTCTAATAAATGTGCAAGAGTATTATGTCTAAAAAAGCAATGTATATGCCTTAATTAAAAATAGTTTATTACTAAAAACTGCTATCACTTGAGCCCTTCAGCAGGTGGTAATATTTTTGTTGGTGGAGG